AGTAGAAACCTTCATATCGGTATCATATTTGCATACAAAAATTATATGACAAAAAGTTGTGAAACAATTGTTTTGTATGTTTCTTCAACTTATACAAAGTCCCTTTAAGGCAAGTCAATTCACTCAGCGGCAATCTTTGAAACACCTCTTGGGCAGTATGCTCAGGCATTCTGTTTGAATCGGAAAACATCAAATTCTCCAAAATTGATTGCCAAGCTCACTATAAAATTTCTTATTCGAGAACAACACTAAAATTAAAAAACAACTGTCTCTTTAGTTTAATTTCTAAACGTTTGAGTAACACAAAATCTGCAGAAATTCACATCTGGTCTCAGCCTCTCCCCTGGCGAATCGACCATTTATATCAATTGCTAATTGGCTCCTGTATTAGAAGTCGGGGCTTCATTCACCAAATTGACCCTTAGACTTTTCCTCATTCAAAACTATACAAGTGACATGTCTTATGTAGTTTTTGACTTATATTAGTAAGTTAGTTGTTTTTTTTAAATAATTTACACACTTTTTTTGTCATTTCCACTGATGTAAGCTGAGACGAGTAGAAAAGTTAACCTGATTCAACCTAAAATATTAAGACAGCAATAATTTTTTTTAAAGTTTACTTTTTAGTTTGGGTTCCATTATTTTGTAGACATTTCATTATATTCAAAATAGCTGTAATAGTTTTACATAAAAATGAATAAAAGTATTACAACACTGTAAAAATCAATTATTTACTTTACTTTACTTTAAAAAGTGAGTAAACTCATTCTAACTGTTTAGTTGAGTTAATTTTCACTTTCGTCAATTGTTGAAGATTTGCTCTTCAGTGTTTGGACTTTGCATTGAAATGAAACCACACTGAGCTGAACTAAACTGAACTCTGAAAACTGGACTGACACAGTTTCAATTTACTAGAATTTTTATGTTAAGCTGCTTTGACACAATCTACATTGTAAAAGCGCTATAGAAATAAACTTGAATTGAATTCATTTGGCTCATTTAGTTAATTTACTCATTGTTTTAGTAAAGTTAACTTATCACTTTTTACAGTATACTTTGGACATAACTCCTTCAAAATTCTTAAATGATTATACAAACCTTAATACAATCCATTAATTATTTCATTCTTATTTCAAAACACTCACTGTATCAACTTTTACCTTTTTAAATATGACTTCATTTCCAGTTAAGATGAAATAAAAGTGTTCTTCTGTCCTAAAAAGGCATACAGCTATGCAATAATACTACAGCTTGACTGAAAGAGAGCGAGAGAGAGAGCTTTCCAGTCAGTGAATAGATAAGGTAGACAGTAAGAAGAGATAGTGTTTGTTTGTTCTGCAATAGTGCTGTTTCATTGCTGTATGCTCTGTGGGTTGCTTTGATATATGTGTCTGTATATTGAAACCCTGATGAAGGCGAGTTAGCCGCAATGCATTAATACACATGTTTATTGTTTTTAATGTTAAAAACCATGTGAATAACTTTAATAATTCTTCATTTAACTTTAACAATATTTTCAAGTGCCGTAGGCTGACAATTTTTACAAAATTTGTGTTTGTAGATATCTGGCTTAATAGAGAGTCTAGAAAGAATACACTGAAGCATTTTCGCTTCAAAGGTATACAATAATACAATAAAGACTCAAGGCTTATCTCCACCATGATCCCTCGATAAACAGAGTTGCGTCCAACTTAAGCTCTTGTTTTGTTTTTTCTGTGGAGTCTCTCAGATCTAGTTATGTTTCCTTTGGTCTCTTCTGCTGGACGGATTTGCAGCAAACCCGACTCATATTTACATTTATACGGAATACTTTGGGCTTTATAATTGACTTGTTGTTTGGGTGGCCTGTATTTTTGGTGTCTGTGTGTTTCTTGTGGTGAGACCGCAGGCCACACTTTCGCTGACACAAAGCTCAGTGCTTTAAAAGCTGAGCCCATCAGTCCTGATGAGGTTTGAGAGTGTTGGCTGGCTTTCTCTTTGATGATTCACCTTTTTGTTGTTCTTTCTCATCTTCTTTAAGACTCTTTATGACTTTATGATAAGTGGTAGATTCAACACCGTTTTATTGGAAATAAGGGCTTCAGCCTACATTTTTGTGTAACTGCCAAAACCTACTTAAACATACATTTGACTGCAGTTTTTAGGTAAAAAGATCACTAGTGCAGTATGATGCCAACAACTTTTGTTCATTTTCACTTTAATGGTATTTTCAGATATATATTATACATTAATAAAGAATAATTTTCATGCAGTTCTTTGCACACCACCAAATAAATACGATTTGTAACTGAATATATTTGCCTCACCTAATCTGGTATGGTCAGTTTGCTCGGTAGCTCACTTGTACAGTGTTGTGCTTTTGAAACAATATTGGCTGGTCTAGCTGATTTGTATGACAAGGCCTGCTATTTTGTGGTCATGTACAAGAAGAATGTGTATTTGAAACATTAAATAAACAGTAACAGTACATTAAATAAACAGTAAATGTAAACAGACCCCTTTAGTGGTTTTGTCGTCTGAAATGTGCAACGAAACATACCCAGAGCAACATATTTTAGGTTTCACAAAAGTGTGAGACACGTATTTCTATTTAAAGGGAGGTACAGTAGATGAACAATGCAATTTTAAGTATTATTTGATGTCTTCTTCTTTCTGTGAATGTGTATTTTATATTTCGTCACCTTAGAATTATAAGGTTCTAGCTGACATTTTTGTCAAAATTGAGTTATTCACATATTCTCATGAAATAACAACTTGTTTACATTATGTGATGTTTTTGAATAAGTTGTTTACATTTTAAGTCTTTTTATTTAAAAAAACAAAAAAAGGTTCAATCAGGATCAGCTTTCCTTGTCATTTCGCTGGATTGCTCCATTGACAGTGGGAAAAATTAAAAAGGAACACAAAATCTCTAAAGTCAACTAAAATCACTAAAGTCGACTAAATAATTTTACACTACACAAAATTGAAAAGAAACCTGAAACTAAAAAGATGTGTGTGGAAATGTGATGATTAAGAAGCATTTTTTGACATTGAGATAAAATGTTAAATTTGACATTGTTGAAAAAGAAACAGTTATCAAAAATGTATATATTAAATGTGAAATATTTTTATTTGTGTATTTATAGTCAGTGAAACATGTTTCAGTGTTAATTAAACTCATTTGCTCATTGTCTCTTTTAAAGTCTTTTAATTCGATTTAAAGCCTTGAAGGGCAAATACTTAATTTATGGGACATAATTCGATATATGAAGTTCATATAAAGGGTAAAATTCAATAAACATTACCATATTAATAACATAAAATTAACAGCTGCACTTATTTATAAAATATTCAACACAGCCTTGTTTGCTTAATTTGAACAAGAAAAAATATTTATCCTTAAACATGAAATATAATTAAAAGGTTTTGTCTGCATTTGCCCTGTTTTTTCCCCCTTTTTCAAATGTAATACCATTTTGATAATTTACATTAAGAGTATTTATAGAACTGTTATTGTTTTGCTATTTGGAATGCCAAAACTTTAAAGCTCAATATCTCAGAACCATTTTTTGATTTTGATATTATTATGAGCCTATTATCAAGATATTACATGTTTATAAGCACTTATAAGGTACAAACTTATTCATTTATACATTCATTCATTTTTTTTTCCGGCTTAGTCCCTTTATTAATCTGGGGTCGCCACAGTGGAATGAACCGCCAACTTATCCAGCGTATGTTTTATGCAGCGGATACCCTTCAAGCCGCAACCCATCTCTGGGCAACATCCATAAACACTCATTCACACTCATACACTACGGACAATTTAGCCTACCCAATTCACACGTACCGCATGTCTTTGGACTGTGGGGGAACCAGAGCACCCAGAGGAAACCCACGCAAACGCAGGGAGAACATGCAAACTCCACACAGAAACGCCAACTGAACCAGCCGAGGGTCGAACCAGTGACTTTTCTGCTGTGAGGCGACAGCACTACCTGCTGCGCTCCTACGTCACCCAGTACAAACTTATTCTACATTCCTAATCCTACCCTAAATCTAACCCCAACTACTACCTTATTAACTATTAATAGGCAGCTAATTAGTCATTCAGTGAGCTAAAAGTCTTATTAATGGTTTGTTAAAAGTGAACTCTACATTATAATAAAGTATGGCCACATTTTGTATTACATGCTTGTTTAAAACCATGCATACTTTCCAAATAAAAGTGTTTTACTGTACTGCATGACAAAAGCTTACTTACTGACTTTATTATTTTTCTTTGGATCTTCTTATGAAGTAGGATCCCTATAAAACAAGCCAAGATAACTTTAAGAAGAATATACCTGTAGAAAGAGAGCTTTTATCACTTGTACCTTTATCTTTTGGCATCTGTCAAACACATGGTGTTATGGTATCCAATAGATGTCTTAAAAGATCACATCTTCCTTCTTCAACAGTATAACATGGTGGTAAGAGTAAAATGACAGGAAGTTTCATGATTATGTTATCTGTCTTGTATAACTGTAAAACTTTCAACTTTTGAAGAAAGCATGTGAGAAATTCAAACACACAAGATAAATAAAAGTCATTTTTAAGTAATTAAATCTTTTAAATTTAAGTTTCAGGGCACTTAGTTTAAGAATAGGCTATATGTGATGTAGGTAACTTTTTTAAAGAATGAGTTTACGGAGATTAAGGAAAGATTAATGAAATGATCTGTCAGTGCAAGAAACTAAACTTTCATTAGAGCGGAAATGCCCAAACTAGGGCTCACAGGCCAAAGTTGGCCCACAGTAACCTTTGATTTGGCCCATTCTGAGAAAAAAGGTGTATATATAAAGCCATTACTACAACTGTAAACTCCAAATTCTGAGGGAAAAGTCAGATTTGCAGAAAATGACATTGAAATTTTTTTTCTTCACAATTTCTTCATCATCTAAGCTTGAATAAATATTTCGGTCATTAGTTCCCTTATAAATCACTGTGTTTGTGCTTTTTTGTCTCGCCTGTTGTAGATTCAGCCGTTCATCTAGTGTGTTTGATGATCCAGAGTAAGTCTCTTTTGCTTTGTGAAAAACCCTCTTATGGGATGCCCTTTTTCCACACACAGCGTCTAATGTCTGCATGTGCATTCAGCACTTACAATATTGAGGAATTTCACTGTAATGTGGCTGTATTGCTTATCGAGTGGGATGCTATCACAACGTAACCCTTTACACCACAAATTTAAGACACACTTTAAAACCTTTTTGTCCCTTTGTTGCTTATGTTTTCTAAAATAACTGCACTTGAGGTATCAAGTTGTACTTAAATATACTACATTAATTAACACAAGCATGCTTCTTATATAATCGAAACGATTTACAATATCTATAATAATAATAAAAATTTGGTGGTTGTTTTTAAATGTCTTTCTCTATATGTTCTCCGTTCTGGCCTTCTGTCTTTGGATGCATGGCTTATGGGCAGCAAATTCAACCTAATTACACTGTAAATGCTCACTTTGACTCACTGGTCGTGCTTTTTAAGTGGTTACTTAATAAAGACTGCACCTACTGTTTAATTTGACTAATATTATCTTGCCTTAATTGTTTAAATGACAATTAATTGAATGAGTTGTAATCTCTGTGTAACAGGAGCGTGAGCATGATTGACATGAGAAGCGAGGAAGACTTGTCACCACATAGTCAAGTTCGACACGAGCTCATGCACAACCAGTACAACAAGCTGAAAGAGGAAGAAGACCACTGGCAGGATGTAAGCGGATTCCACCATTTGTTGTGTTTTGTGTTAATTCTGGTGTTCGGATCACAGTGTGTAAGTTGTGTGCATTTGTGTGTCAGGATTTGGCCAAATGGAAGAGTCGCAGGAGGAGCGTGTCACAGGACCTGATCAAAAAAGAAGAGGAGAGGAAGATGATGGAGAGACTGCTAAGTGGAGATGGAGGATCACAGAGAAGGAAAAGCATTAAGACGTACAGAGAAATAGTAGAGGAGAAGTATGTCTGCCTTTTACACTTATGTTCTCATTATATACATCTCAACAGTGCAGGTGGCATTTGGTCATTTAAAGCAGTGTTTCTCAACCAAGTTCCTGGAGGACTACCAGCTCTGCATATTTTCCAGGTCTCCTTAACCAAACCGACCTGATTCTGATCATCAGATCATTAGCAGAGACTGAAAGCCCTGTAGTGGGTGTGACAAAGCAGATATCCAAAACATGCAGTGTTGATGGTCCTCCAGGAATGTGGTTGAGAAACATTGATTTAAAGGGACAGTTCACACAAAAATGAAAATAATTTACTTATTATTTACTCAACCTCGAGGGGTTTCAAACCTTTAGGAGTTATTTCTCCTGTTGAACACAGGATAAATGAAGAATGTTTGAAGAAAGATCTTTAGTTGTTGTTTTTTCTACTATGGAAGTCAATGGTTACAGGTTTTCAGCTTTCTTCAAAATATCTTCTCTTGTGTTCAACAGAAGAAAGAAACTTAGTTCAGAATAAGTGACGAGTGGATACAGAATGTTTTTTTGGGATGAACTATCCCTTAAAGGGCCATGAAACCCCCCTGTTTCAGCAGGGTATTTTCATACCTCTAGTTTGGAAAAAGTCAGAAAAGTGAGCGTGTATAGCTCTGTTTAGGTGGGAGTGTTAAGGGAGGGAAAGAGGGAAGGATTCTGAAAAAAAATTTTAATTTTCATTTGGGCATGCGCTGATTTTCGCCGAGGCAAAACTAACACACAGACGCAGAGGAGAAAGACAGTGACTGCGTTTAATGACAGTGACTGTGGAATGTTTGAGACCGCACGTCGTATAAGAGAAAAAAAAAAACGTCCGCATTTCTCAGTAACTTAAATGCACTCAGTGGGTAGTGTCAGAAAGCCGTGTGTGTATAGACTATCTTGTCACAAAATGCAGCGAAAATTCAACATGACGGTAATAGTTTAAAGTGTTTATTGTAGTGATATTACCATACTGTAAACTAAGTAACTTAGAAAATCATTTTGACAAAGGTATTTCTTTAAAAACAGAAAGAGTACAGCTGACGATAAGAACAAACTTTGCCTTGAATGAACAAACAAAGGGCACTGATCACACACACTTACCAAATCTGTAGAGACAGGACAATCAACATCAACTGGAGCCGAGGAGCAAATCCGGATTTCACCATTTCCAGATGCGAAAAGCTCTCGGGTAAAAATGTTCCATACAAACGGATTTGTGCCACGTGTCACGTGCACTGTTGTCCACACGTAAGTCCAGCTGTGCTCTCATAGCGGGAAAATGATAACAAAACCTTTGTTGCACCTTCTTTAAACGCAACACTGACGACCAATGTCTCCAAACAGTTCTTGTTTTTCTTTCAATTGTTTTGGTAACTCGACGTGGCGTCTCTCTGCTGTCTAAACACTGTATCAGGTAAAAACAGTCTTCGAAGCTATCATGGATATTAATGAAGTTAGAGCGCAGTAGAGCACACTAATTGGTTTGAAATAAGTCTTTCTCATAAATGAATGCAGCACACTCAGAGACGTCACAAAGTACAGACAGCCAGTCTACACGCTGGAATACATGCAAGGATCTAATCTAATGATAGTAGATAATAGTACTTATTATTGGTGAAATAAAATGCCTAGCAATAGGTGGCGTCATTTGCATGTTATTTTCCTTTCTCCACCAAGGTTATAATTTGTTTTGCGTTTTTATTACAATACTTTTTTTTAACTGGCTTTAAATTTGTTTTATTTTAGTTAATTTTATTAATGGTTTTGTTAGTTTTAATTTTAGTAGATCTTGTGTATCAGAAGTCCAGTCTTGACCAGAGCAAAGTTTAATGTTTGCACACTTTACAGTACATTATCTCTTGTGCAAACCTTATAGTAAAGCAAATAAAATAATTGTTTAAACAAACACTGAACCCAAAACCATACATATGCGTTGAATTAAAGGATAAAAAAGAAGAATTCAGAAAATGTTCAGGAAATTCAAATGAACAAGTTTTATGTTTATATAGAAAAATAAAGATAAAGACAAATAGCAGTCAAAAAGTAGCAAATATGCTGATGACACAAAAAAAGTGCAACAGTCTAACAACCATAGGCTATAAGTTATGTAGTCGTTATATATATTAACCTCACCTAATGAGAGTGGTGGGCACAATGTTTTCAGCCCATATCTGTTGTAGATTTAATTTTGGGGACCACCACTCAGAGATCATCCTCAATGGTCAGTTGTGGCCTGTATTTATTTTTAATGTATATAATTGCTCTAACGGTGTCAGAAAGTTAACCCTGGTGCTGTGTTGTTAATTTAACATGAACACACAATCCTATGAAAAAAATTGAAAGGATGATGGCTTTTTTATTTGCATGTTGTTGCTTTTGTCTATTAACTATTATTTTTATCTTTGGGTTATTGATCAATATGGTCATTCTAATAGAAATTCAATCAAATTTATTTGTCTTTTGGAAATCACCAAGCGACCCTCTGTTATTGTCTTTCCACTTTAGAAACCACTTCTCTAGACTTTTAATATTTTATTTCAGTTGGTCTTTCAATGGTTGCTGTGAGTTCTGTTTAGTTTTAGCTTTATTTTACTGTAAATCTTAATTTTATTTGAGTTAACTAAAATGTTTTTTGACCAATAGTTTTAGCTTACATTTACTAAAATAATCTTGTTCTCCACAAGGGAGCGTCGTGAACAGGAGCTGCATGACGCTTATCGAAAGGCTCGCACACCAGAGGAGGCAGCAGCTGTGCTGCATCGCTACGCCCAGCGATTCACCATCAGCGAGGCTGTTCTGGAGCGCCTCAAACTGCCAAAGCTGCTGGAGAGGAGTGTGTCGGCTGATCCCACTCGTCACTCCTCTCTCCCCATCTCCCAGGACATCTCGTCCTCTTTCAGCGCTTCCCCTAATGTGCTGCAGTACCTAAGGCAGCAGTCTCTTCCCGCAGCTAAGTTCACATCCATGGTCGAGGCAAGGGTGACGGGATACAGCCCAGAAAAGGGAATTGTGGGAGATGCAGAGTGTGTCTCAGATCCATCTCGCTCACATGGGCCATCACTGGGTCCGAAACCTTACAGACAGAGCAGAGCTGCCACTGCTGGGATGAGAACAGTAAAGGTACAGACATTACACAACTCAACATTTCTTCTTGTAGAGTTAAAACTGATATATTTAAAGCAAGGGTTCTCAACTCCTGCCCTTGAGGTCCACCTTCCTACAGAGTTTAGCGCTAATTTTAATAAAAACAAAGTTGTTGAAGCTAATCAAGTTATTTACTGTAGGGATTACTTGTGCTTTCAATTCTGTCACAGATGAGCTAAAAGTCTAAATGCTGTTTTTGATGGTCATTTAGATTTTAAGGGTTTGCTAGTAAAACAATTTGAGAAGTGTTTCCTTTGGAAGGTTTTGTGTACAGATGGCAACTTTGTCAAAATGACCCATGTCCACACAGATTTGTGAAAATGACTAAAAAAGGTATTATGCACATCAGCCCAGTTGTTCCCTACAAAGGCAAAGTGAAGTGACTACTCAAACACTGAAACCTTTAAACCTTTGACGCTACATAGTTTAAAATGTTGTGAGTAGATAATTTTTCTGTACTGGGAGAAACTAGAACTAGTAAACTATATCACAAAATAGGGTAGATGTCAAAGTTTGTTTCAGACCTTAACTCAGTTTTGACCAAATCTGTAATTACTGTGCTTTGCATTTGGATGGCAGAGTCACTTTTTAAAGCTAAAATAATGGGTGGAACATCCTACTGGCTTGTGGAATAGACAGACTTACAGTGTTAGCTAAAAACTGTATTGTTTCAATAAATTGCACTCTGATACTCTTTTTCAAACGTTTGTTTTCAGGCATCTAAGCAGACCCCTAATTGTGTATTTTAACTGCCAAAACACATCTTTGACCCAAGTATTTTGCTTTTGGTACAATTTCACTAATTAGCAGTAGAGGAAAGAGTACTGAAAAAGCATTCTTAAGTAAAAGTACCATTACTTGCCTAAAAATGTAGTGTGAGTTGAGTGAAAATACCTGTTGTAAATATAACTCAAAGTAGGAGTAAAAAGTAGCCATTTTTAAAGTACTCATGAGTAGTGAGTAGTGAGTATTATGCTGTTAAAAATTTGATGCATTTACATGTAATTTGTGGATGTGTGTGTAAACGTAACATTCTGTAGATGCATTTAGTTAGGTTGTGATGTCAGGTGACCAAAATTCATTTTTTAGCCAGTGTCTAGGGAAAACATTATTTTGATGTCCAACAATGACATCAAAAGATGTTGATATTTGGTTGATTTTAGGTTGTTAAAAAGTGACCAAAATCCAATGTCGAGCCAACATCTTAAACCAACATCCTATTGATGTCAAATACTGACATTTATTCATCAGTTATGACAATCAAAATTCAACGTCTGTCTGATAGATATCATAGTGGTAACATTGACACAACGTCAAGCTGTAACATCATTAAACGTTGATATTTGGTTGGTTTTAGGTTGGACATTGGACATTGACATTGGGCTGACGTTGAGTTCTGTTATAAGCCCAATTTTCATTTCCAAACAAAATGCAGCGTCTCCAAGACGTTAGGGTACAATTTCAATCTGACGGCATGTTGACGTCTTGTACCTGCTGGGTATTTAAGGCCGTTTTGGTCATCATACTGTAAATATCCGTCATCTTCTCATTAGTAACATGCATCTAAACCAGGGGTGCCCATACTCGGTCCTGAAGGGCCGGTGTCCTGCAAAGTTTAGTTCCAATCCCAATTAGACGCACCTGGGCTAGCTAATCAATCTTATACTAGGCTTTCTAAAAACATCCGTGCAGGTGTGTTGAGGCAAGTTGGAGCTAAAATCTGCAGGACATCGGCCCTCCAGGACTGTGTTTAGGCATCCCTGATTTAAACAGTCTCTGGGTCAATGCGTGCAAAGATTTTGAACATCTTCTTGGACACTTAATGCTTCCAAACAGTTTGCTGCAATGTAAAGTGCACATGTCTTGAAGTAGTTCCTTCTATGTGTGATTTGATTGGACAGGAATTACAGGACTGATTTTTCTAATTCCCATAAACAAGAAATAATAAAGTAGTGACTGTAGTTTGAAGAAAAGTTGTGAGAGTAAAAGTACAGATACTGCAATAAATGTACTCAAGGGAAAGTAAAAGTCCACATTTTTAAAACTACTATTATGTGATTGTATTGTATTGCAATATGGAGCAAATAAGCATTGATGTCAAAAGTAAATCACCGAATACTTGAAAATGAAATTATTTACTGACAATAATTCTATATGGTTACAACTGAATTTATTACAAATAACTGTAAAATGAGAAAATTTGAAATGATAAAAACATGATATTAATTGCTTAAATGTAAAAATAAAGTTACCTAAGAAAGAGAGAGACAGGGGGAGGGAGAGAGAGACAAAGAGAGTAAGTAGGCCTCGAAGAGGCAGAGAAGATAGACTCCAGATCAGGAGAGGGAGTCACTATGGACCGTCTTTGGTGAAAAAGACATGTTTTGTCATATAAACAAATGCATACGATAATTTAGACTCTTGCAAAGGTATCCTCTTTTTTGTGTGTCTGCACTGGAGGTACAGCGATAGATTTTAACATTAAAAACAGCATTTGGAGGAAGTAAGTTACCTGGGGTCTTACCCAACACAATATGAACTACCAGGAAATACCAACACAATCTCACGGAAATTCATACGTTTTTGATTTAGGGGCTAATTTGTATGAATTCATACAATCTCATTCATACAGTTTAGTTCGATTTGCTCATCCCCTAATGGCAGTTGGTTTTAGTGGCAGGGTTGGGTACCTCTTTTTTAAAATCATACACTTTTATATGACTGAACTCGTACAAATTCATTTGAATTAGCCACTAAACTGACAAAGCGTAATATACTTACATTTCCCTGTGAGAGTAGGTTGGAAAATACATACATGCCATATGAAACACTGACAACACTCTATTTTAAAGTTTTACAGTACATAAACATACCGAAAGCTAATATTAGCGGCAGTTACCTTTGGCACTGTTCTGTTCTCAGCCTTGATGATATATATCAAGCGACTTTGCTGTCATACTGTCAGTGATTTAGTTTTCTTTTTTACTCTTTCAGTCACATGACTTACACTGTCTACATTGCTTCTCTGTTATTACATAACCCATGTCACACAACAAAAACATAGCTTTGATTATGGTGTCGAGTTCTGCCCTAGATGTTTCTGTTGACTATCATCCATTACTTAAGAGATCCTGCCGATAGAGTGGAATATTTAGTTCTCAGGGGATCGGTCTGGTGGCTAGTTTCCATAACTATAAAGTGTGAACATCGATTTGTCCACTAATGGTGTTAGTAAAGCACGAAATCAAGTCAGCTGCGTAAACCTTCAGATGTAGGCCTAGATTTCTTCAAGCAGGTGAGATTGATCAGTGTCGGAGCTAAACTCTACAGAAAACTGGATCTCTAAGGTCAGAGTTGATGTTTATTTAATTTGCAGCAAGTAAAAAAAGCTCATCATAAACACCCTGTCTACTTACAAGATAGTACCTAATTTCTCTTGTACCTAATTTGTCTTTCTCATACTGCTATGAATTTAAATGAAGAGAAAATAGAGACAATGCATGTTTTTATTTATTTATATTATTTTTTTGTCTGAGAAAAAGAAAAGTCACTCTTGTCTAGAGTTTCAGAGGACACCAGAAATTTGCAAAAAGCCTACAATACAAATTTCAATATGGAAATGTCTCAACAAATTAGACCAAATAATCTGAGCAGTGCTATCCACATCAATCTTGCTGTTTAAATCTCAAACTGCTCTGTCAAATATTTGTTTCCTTTAAAGGAAACATCTAAAATGATATTGAAATCACATTTGTAAGATCTCAATTATGTCTTAAAGGGCAGACTCAGAGCAGTATAACTACTTGAGCCACATGTACTCTGCCACACCACCCACACTAAGCTGCAATCTCCTGGATAATTAATGCTGTATATTCTCCGTTAGCATAGTGTTTCAGAACGCGTCAACAATGGCAGATGTTTCCCTCTGCTGGCTGGAATGGGTGTTAACAGTTAAAGTGGGCATTTGTTGAATGGGTGCTAGTGTTCAGTAGGTATGAGTGTGTGTTTGTGAATGGGTCCTTTCTGTGTGAAGTGCTCCATACGAAGACAAAAACTCTCACACAGAGCAGATCGGCCCATTTAAAACACGCACACACACACACACACACACACACACACACACACACACACACACACACACACACACACACACACACACACACACACACACACACACCTACACACATGCAGATGTATACAAGAGTGAGTAAACCTGTTGTAACTTGGAACTGTTAAGTTGACTTTACTTTATGTACATAGTTCATTTACTTAATAGTTTTAAGGCAACAGGTTTACTAATTTTTTCAAAGTAAAGTCAACTAATTGCTTATTACAGTGTATGTTTGTTTTTCCGTCATGGTAGAAAGTTTTCTATGATTTATGCTCACATAAAAATATGTCTTGCTTTTAAAATCCTCTATGCACTACCTGTATGTTGTTTTTGCTGGTTTTTATAATATTTTAGTATCATGGACTAGCTTTTTTTAATAGTTGGGATTTTTGGGGGGAAAATTACTTTCTATTTGTATTTCTTCTCTTTTATTTCCTCTTATTTTATTTTGTTTAATAGTTTATCTTACCTAAATGGAATAATTCAAGATGTACTTAATTAAAACATGTATACATATGCACTAATCGGCCACTTTATTAGGTACAGCTTAATTGTACCAGGTGGAGCCGTTTTTGCCTTCAGAACTGCCTTAATCCTTCGTGGCATAGATTCAATGAGGTACTGGAAATATTCCTCAAAGATTTTTGTCCATATTGACATGATAGCATCACGCAATTGTTGCAGATTTGTCAGATGCACATCCATGATGCGAATATCCCATTCCACCACATACCAAAGGTGCTCTATTTGATTGAGATTTGGTGACTGTGGAGGCCATTTAAGTACAGTGAACTCATTGTCATGTTCAAGAAAGCTGTCTGAGATGTTTCGCGATTTATGACATGTCACGTTATCTTGCTGGAAGTAGCCCCCAGAAGATGGATACAGTGTGGTCATAAAGTTGTGGACATGGTCAGCAACAATACTCTGGTAGGCAGGTGTGGCATTGACACAATGCTGAAGTGGTACTAATATGCCCAAAGTGTGCCAAGAAAATATCTTCCACATCATTACACCACCACCAGCCTGAGCAGTTGATACAAGGCAGGATAGGTCCATGCTTTCATGTTGTTGTTGTCAAATTCTGATCCTACCATTCGAATATCGCAGCAGAAATGGAGACTCATCAGACCAGGCAATGTTTTTCCAATCTTCTATTGTACAATTTTGGTGAGCCTGTGCAAATCGTAGCTAATCAGTAATCAGTTACCTGTTCTTATATGACAATAGTAGCACCTGGTGTGGTCTTCTGCTGCTGTAGCTCATCCGCCTCAGGGTTGGCTGTGTTGTGCGTTCAGAGATGCTCTTCTGCAGTCTGGCTATTCTCCTCTGACCTGTGGCAGCAACAAGGCATTTGCACCCACAGAACTGCCGCTCACTGCATATATTATTGGACTATTCTCTGCAAACCCTAGAGATGGTTGTGCATGAAAATCCCAGTAGATTTGCAGTTTCTGAAGTACTCAGACCAGCCCATCTGACTCCAACAACCATGCCACATTCAAAGTCACTTAAATCACCTTTCTTCCCCATTCTGATGCTCAGTTTGAACTGCAGCAGATCGTCTTGACCATGTCTACATACCTAAATGCATTGAGTTGCTGCCATGTGATTGGCTGACAAGAAATTTGCATTAATAAGCAGTTGGGTCGGTGAACCTAATAAAGTGGCCAGTCAGTTTATATATATTTAGACCTCAAATGCAGTGACATCTAGAGATGTAGATGTAGCATCAGCATTATTATTAAAATAATAGAGTTTATCCAAAATAGGTGAGTAGTATTAGATGACCACATGCTCTTGTGAGGTCATGTAAAGTAAAACAAGTTCTATTATGTTAGTACATGTTTATCACATATTGGTTATTAAGTTTTTAAACTTTCAGCAATACACACATAATGTAGCTAAAATGTGCTCCTTTATTATTACACACGCTGTTGCTTCTCAACTAAATACACAAATGTTTTTTTTTTTTGAAGATGAAACATAGTTACTTACTAAGGAAACAAGAGAAATGAATGTTTATGCTGTATTTTAAATGTCTCAGTTGGATGAAAGAGTGCGAGTGAATGGGGAAAGGGAAGATGACGGCCTCGGCATTGAGAAGACAGGACCACAGAGAAACAAAGCAGAGGAAGAAGATTCTTCTCATCTACAGTTCTTCTCATCTTCCTGCCAGCACACAGACTCAGACATGACAGATAGTGAAGTCTCTGTAGTTCAGCCCACGGTCCACATGCTCTCATCCACACGCACAGCAGAGAGCCCAGAGAAACACAGAGATACTACAGAGGTCAGTATGTGCTGTTACAAGCAAAAGAAAACAGAGTTTACATTCAAAATACTGTTGTTGCTGAGTAGATTCTAAAACATCTGTAAACCGTCTATATTGTACAGATTGAAGGACGGACGGTCCCGCAGGTCGGAGATGTCCCTGAATTCCCAAAAGTGTTGGAGATAAATCCAGATGAGACTGTTACAGGTTGGTCTGCTTTTATTTGATTATTATCTCAGTTTTTTGATTCCTTGTGCTCTTCATATTCTTTTGTAAATGTTCTTCCCCATGTAGATCAAGAGAAGACAGATGAGAGGGGTATGAGTGACTCTCTACACGACGTGATTCAAATGGAGATTTCTGCACAGGTTAGTTTATATGTAAATTCTGTGGTAGTTTTGCTTACTGTACTGTATATAAAAATGTACAGAAAAAAGTACTTATGTACGTATATACAGAACTGGCTAGTAACCTATAGTAAACTCATTCATTTATTTATATTCTTTTCGGCTTAGTCCCTTTATTAATCTGGGGCTGCCACAGCGGAATGAACTGCCAACTTATCCAGCACATGTTTTATGCAGCAGATGCCCTTCCAGCCACAACCCATCACTGGGAAACACAAACACTCATTTACACTCATACACTACGGTCATTTTTAGCTTACCCAATTCACCTGTTCCACATGTCTTTGGACTTGTGCGGGAAACCAAAGCACCTAGAGGAAACCCACGCGAACACGGGGAGAACATGCAAACTCCAGACAGAAATGTTTACTGACTCAGCCGACGCTCGAACCAGCGACCTTCTTGCTGTGAGGAGAACGTGCTATTCACTGCGCCTCCACGTCACCCTTGTAGTAAACTACTTCTTAAACATATTGTAATCAGTTACTACAGTTACTTATATATTATTACTTATATATAAATTATTTAAAACAGTGGTATATCCAGTACTTTTTTGTACATACAATTGAAGTCAGAATTATTAGCCCCCCTGAATTATTAGCCCCACTGTTTATTTTTTTTCCCCAATTTCTGTTTAATGGAGAGATTTCTTCAACACATTTCTAAACGTAATAGTTTTAATAACTCATTTCTAATAACTGATTTATTTTATCATTGCCATGATGACAGTAGATAATATTGGACTAGATATTTTACAAGACACTTCTATACAGCTTAAATTGACATTTAAAGGCTTAACTAGGTTAATTAGGTTAACTAGGCAGGTTAGGGTAATTAGGCAAGTTATTGTACCACGATGGTTTGTTCTGTAGACTAAAAAATATAGCTTGAAGGGGCGAATAATTTTGTCCTTAAAATGGTTTTTAAACAATTAAAAACTGCTTTTACTCTAGCCGAAATATAACAAATAAGACTTTCTCCAAAATAAAAAAAATATTATCAGACATAGTGTGTAAATTTCCTTGCTCTGTTAAACATTTATTCATTCATTTTCTTGTTGGCCTAGTCCCTTTATTAATCCAGGGTCGCCACAGCGGAATTAACTGCCTCTGTTAAACATCATTTGGGGGATATTTTTAAAAAGAATAAATAATTCCAAGGGGGACAATAATTCTGACTTCAACTGTACCTGTACACATTAAAATTAACAGACACAGGCAATTGACAGACTTAACATTCTCTAAACTGTAAGTGCAAATCTCAAAACAGTTTGCTGAAACTTTAGAACTTTATTGCACGCCTGCAAAATGTAGTTACTCCCCCAAAACATTTCATTCATGCTTCAAAACCTAGATATCATGTTAGTCATTTGGCCAAGGCCACCAAAACATAAAGTGTGTTTGTCATTGTTTGAGCCACACAGCTCAAAATGATTACTTGCTTTTTCACCATGACAGTCAACCATGGAAATTAAAGTTTTAAAACATCTGATATTTATTTAGAAGAGTCAATAGTACATAGACAAAAAGAACATTTACATTTATTTGTGTACAAATGTATTACATACAAAGTGCAATCTTGCTTGTCCAGTTACTGTATTGTATATTTCATATTTCGTATGTTGCCACAAATACACACAAAATACTACAAAATATTATTCATGAAACAAATTCTTCTTAGTGGACATCCTGTCACTCTTGTTGGTTTTGCCGACATCACAAAAAATGTCAATATCAGATATTTATGGTGTAAACGTGTGTATACAAATGTTTAATAATTGAGTGGATTGTTTTGAGTGTGAAAAATGAAAAACACTATGAAAAATGGTTGATGGTTGTGAGGAGTTTGACAGTTTAAATGAGAACTGACTTGTCAGTTTTGATCAACAAGCCATATGCCTTTCGTTTTTGTCCAAACTACAGATAGTTGTTTGCACACATGTGCCAAAGCAGTTGCAATTTAAACCAATAAGAAATGACAATCAGATGTGAACAATAAGCTAATTCTTCAAAGATTTAAACTTATTGTTTTGAAAAACAAAAACTTCAATGGAGAATTGAGTTAAAACAATTAATAAAAACTGTAGTTGATTTTATTTTCTGTATGTGTTTGACTTTAACTTCTTTAAATTTGATTTTAGGTCAGTGAACTAACAGCTGAGATCCCACAGAAATCAACAAATGAATCTGAGTCATCCAGACCCGAATCATACAGAACCAAAGCAGGTGAGTGTTATTCAACACTAGCTATAGCCAATATTTTTCATCCTGAAGTTCATTTCTCCCATTAGATATTACATACAACTAAAAGCCAAAGGTAAACTCTCATTTCTTCCCATTTTTGGGTCATTGTTTAGAGTTGGCTGTCAGTGCTCAGTTAACATCGTTGTCAAGTAATCCTAAATTGCGCAGAGATTTCTTCGCCCAATCAGGTAAAGAGCTTACCAGTTGAGTCTCGTCTAATGGAGTCCCCCATTGGCCGCAAGCCAGACTAATTCATGACTGTAATTGTTGTCTAACCTCACATAACCCATTGTTACAGTATGTTATGTCACACAACCTCTGAGAGACATGAACATATTAATTCTCATGGTGGCAAATAAATAAGGAAATGTCTGTAATTCTTCATTATATAAGCAAGTAGCTAAATTAATAATATTGACCTTTTATGTTTTTGTGTATTTTTTTAATTTTTATTTGAATGTTTTGCTCAAATGTCTGTTCAAAGTACAATTGTATTGCACTGAATTCATTTTTTGTTTTCTCACTGAATTGTCCAGTGTTGGGTGTAATGTTACTCTAAGTCAAAGTCTCACAAAGTCTAGATTAAACTTTATAATAACATAACAGTTAAGATAATTGAGTAATTATTTGATTGTTTTTATGTTTTAGTTTACATTTGACAGCCAGTCCCCACTTTTTGAGTAATTTGCTTTTAAGCAAAATACTATTATTATTATTATTATTATTATTATTATTATTAATAATAATAATAATAATAATAATAATAATAATAATAATAAAATGAATCATTAATGAAATTGCTGAAAGTATAGGTCTAAAAACATGCTTTGCTTTCATTTTCCAGATATGGCTGAGAAGGCTCATGAAAATGTAAGTAATGCCATTACATTTATTGATCTGTCAATCTTTTTTTTTCTTCTTTCCTCATCCTTGAATCTTCTTCAGTTTGTTTCTGATGTTTTGTCATCTGGTTTTATTTTATTATTTTTCTGCAAAGAGAATTAAGATTGGTCAAAATGGTTTCAAGCAACTTTTGCCTCATTAAATTTCCAATTTTCTGCTAATTAATATTTAAAGTTGTTAAGTGATCATTAAGTAAGTGGTTAAGTTTAGGTATGGGATAGGATTAAGGGATTCAGAATATGTTCATGTAGAATAACGTCTTAATATGTGATTTATAAATCCTAATAATCTTTAATGAAATAATACTAAATGATATAAGTCATAAACATAATATAAATCACATTAATCAGTCTATTCATTATGCAAGCTACTAAACAACTACACTTTAAAAAATAGGTCTAACAAATAAGATTATTTATGTATTTTGATTGCATATAAAATTTCCATCCCTTTGGATTACATACTTTTAAGGTAATTGAACTAAATAAACTTTGTGATTGATTTTTGTTAGTTAAACATAAATGAACAAATAATAACAATATTTATGTAATAATATCAATGGTTCAAAATGTTTCTTATTAATTCATCTATTGTGAAAGTATGAAGCTGCATTCATTTTGCCCCTAAATATTAAGTAAACCAAACTCATAGAATTTAAAGATTGATTCTGAGGAATCTGACAACATACATTTCAAAAGCTGACAAATTGAATAAAATCAAAAGGTTACAAACAGTTAATGATAAATTCATCGTCATTTGTTTTTGTGTGTGTAGTTGTGTAGTTAAAAGTGCTGATTTGTGAAAATAATACTTGTCAAAATACAATGACATACTATACTTACTCCTGCCGGATCTAACATTCAGAGATTCACTGTTACCAAGGAACAATAAACTAGGCTGGTGAGTTTCTGACAGCAAGCTTTAGATGTATTTAATGCATAAAGGTCAATAATGTTCATGATACAGGAAGATTTGTTCAGAGTCATCTTTTACATCATTTCAATGCCTGATATGAATTTTTGAAGGTGCCTTTGTCATAAACTAAAAACAGAATTCAAGTGTGAGTTATTTTTTTGTATGCTGTAGATGAAGGCAGAGCAAATAATGATATTAAGTTCTCCAGGACGGCCGAAATCTATCGATGAAGCCAGTTCAGATAGTAATTCAGTAAGAGTTCCAGAAACTCCAAACTCGATTAACAAGAATGTGACCTGACAAACTTGACTCCTGAATAAAATTCCTGATAAACACAGACGGTAACATGAACAGCAACTGACTGATAACCAGCTACTGAAACACCAGCTATATACTTTATATACACAAGCTATAGCTGTAGCATGCTGATTACAAGTCAGCAGACTCACAAGCATGCTGCCAGTAAAAAGGTAAACACTGACACTCCCACACCAGCATGCTACAACAAGCACACAAGACCAAATGAGCTCACAGACCATGGACTAAATAGAAGGTATTTTGCTTAGGAAAGTGCAAAAAATTCTCCAGAATCCATAGGCATGTTTTCGTAAACCACCGTAACAGAGTACAGCTATGTCATACCCATGTGATCATACAAAATGCTTTCATTGGAAACCACCAAAACCAGTACACAAACACATTCACACAGCATGGTGTACTCTAAAATACACACATGTAAAATAATCATACTTTAGTTGTCACAAATATTTGAAGAAGTTAAGTAGAAGCAACACAGATTAACTTAGTTGGCTCCTGAGTTGTGTTATGGAAAACCTGCAGTCTAAATAATAATTATACTCTACAAAATGGGGCAGGCAGAAGTGTATTGAGTTGTATTAACTTATATGAAGGGGCATTATGGTGGTGCAGAAAGTAGCATGATCGCCTCTCAACAAGAAGGTTGCTGGTTTAAGCCTCAGCTGGGTCAGTTGGCAAACTGTGTGGAGTTTGCATGTTCTCTCTGTGTTTGTATGGGTTTAATAAAAGGACTAAGCCGAAAAGTAAATGAATGAATGAACCTATATGAAAACACAGGCAGGAATTAATATCACCCTTTGCATATGCAACTGTATTTTTGAAGTCACAGGAATAACTTTTAATTTGACATGATGCATAAATGTGCATTATACACTCAGGAGTTTACATATGTCTGTTGCCTGAGTACACTAAAAGTTTTTAAGCCAGTACAACATCAAAAAAAAAAAAAAAAAAAAAAAAAAAAAAAAAAATATATATATATATATATATATAATCCTAATTTCCTTTCGTTTTTTCTTGTTCACTCAACTTTTGAAAACATCAGCTGCACTGACCTAAAATTATAAATTATTTCTCAGTAATACAAAAAACATTTAGTTGGGTTAACATCTGGAGAAGTGAACGACTCTTTAACAAAATTTGTGTCAACTGAACATTTTTTTTGCCTGCAGAACTGGAATGCCTGTATTTGAGTGAAAAAAAAAACATAATCCTTATTTCCATTGTTTTTTCTTGAGTACTCAACTTTTGTAAACATCAGTTGAACTGATTTAAAATGTCTGAAGTTGAGTGAAAAAAAAAAATCATAATCCTTATTTTCTTTCGTTTCTTTCTTGAGTACTCAACTTTTGAAAACATCAGTTGCACTGACCTAAAATGTTTGAAGTTGAGAGAGCAAAAAACTCTTGAAAATAGGTACTAAGAAATAATACATTATCAGAATGTATTAGAAACTGGTTCCTCCATTTGAATTATAGTTTGAGCATTTGATTTTTCATGTAGGTATTACAGAATTATGCTGAGTTGTTCATTCATTCATGCATTCATTCATTCATTCATTTATTTTCTTTTCGGCTTAGTGCCTTTATTAATCTGAGGTTGCCACAGCGGAAATAACCGCTAATATATACAGCACATGTTTTACGCAGCGGATGCCCTTCCAGCTGCAACCCAACACTGGGAAACATCCATACACACTCATTCACACACATACACTACAGACAATTTAGCTTACTCAATTCACCTGTACCGCACTTGTGAGGGAAAACGGGGCACTCAGAGGAAACCCACGCAAACATTGGGAAAATATGCAAACTCCACACAAAAACGCCAGAGGCTTGAGCCAGCAACCTACTTGCTGTTAGGTGATCGGGCTACCCACTGTGCCACTGTGCAGCCCTGAGTTGTTCATGAAAATTAAACATTAAATACATTTGATTTCTCATTTGAGAATGCATTTTGATATATTATTTGATTGTTTGAGCATTTGATTTCTCATATGGGTAGTTGTTTTGAAAGTTCAATTTATCATTTGTTTTTAGGCATTTCATGTATATATATATATATATATATATATATATATATATATATATATATATATATATATATATATATATATATATATATATACACACACACACAGTACGTTTAAGTTCAAATTAACAGTCTTGCGCTAAGTGTTGTGACTCTCATACGCCTTTTTAAGCATAAAATCTGATCAATTAAATGAATACTTTCCAAAATACCACTTTTGTAGAATATTCAATACCAGATGAGAAAACAGCTCAACTTTTCCAATTTTTCTTGTCTTTTTACATTTATCTGCTCTGTCCTTTCTAGTAATCAGATATAGTCAAGACTACTTTAGGGGTAACAGATGAACGTTCTCTCTATCCATTTCCTTTCTCACTGTTTTTGGTGTTGTTTGGTGCATCCTCATTCGGGGTGTGTGCTTGTGGGTGCATATCATTGCGGACGGTACGGTTAGGTCCCTCCCTCAGTGCTGAATCTGGTGAATCGGGGTGAACACTTTTCTTGGGACCCTGAGGAAGAGCGCAATCGTCAGGAGAGGTGGCAGAAAGAGCAGGAACGCATGCTTCAGGTACAACGGCTTGAGTAATGAGAGCCCTGCTTGAGCCAGCACTGAGAATCAAAGCAGCTTCAAGAGCACAACCTGAGCATGCTTAGTCTCTACAAGTCAAGCAGACTAGACTAACCAGGCAATCAGCATTTTATGCTTACAATGCTTAAGCATTTAAGATAGTTTTCTCCTAAAAATGAAAATTTTGTCATTAGAATGCATAGACTGATTTTTAAAAGACAATTAAAGTGGATGGGGACCAAAGATGCCATTTGGTTACCATTTGCTTTGGTTGGAGTAAAAGGCAGCATGGGTATTTATTTACTGTAGATAACACCATATTCGTTTCATATGGAATGTAATTAGAGTAAGCGATGACAGAATGTTCATTTTTGGCTAATCTCTTTACATTGCATGTTTTCTTCGTAAACAATTGATTATGTTGTGCGCTATAACAGAAAGTGTTAGGGTGTGTTTACACCTGGCAGGATTGGTTCAGCTCGATTGGTGTATTTTATTTGATCAAGTGTGAATAAGTGCTAGCTGAAACCCTTTTGTGGAAGAAAAAGTAAAAAGAAGAGAAAAAAATACAACATTCAAGCATATCTTGTTTCACTCATCATAGTTGCAATATTGTCCATTATACAGTTATAAAGGTTCTGCAAATGCATTTCCTTGCAGCAGATCTTCATGTATGTTTGACAGAGGAATTTGGCACTGTTGCCTCACAGCAAGAACATCACTGGTTCTAGTCCTTACCAAGCCAGCTGACGTTTCTGTGCTGAGTTTAAACGTTCTCCCCGTGCTCACATGGGTTTCCCTTGGGTTCCCTGATTTCCTCCCACCGTCAAAAAACATGCCACCTAAATTAATTGACTAATCCAAATCAGCACCATAGACATGCTAGTAAATAGTTATCTCTTTAGAGCAATCAACTCTGTTCATTAGTTACTACAGCACCAGAATTCTCGAGATCTACCTGAGCTCAAACTTCCCTCTCGCCTTGCAAACGGGAGGGAGCCCCGGGCTCGAGGATCTTATGAGCTCAAGGCTTTCTCCCAGGACAGCATGCCAAACAAGCTTTATAATCAATCATCAGCTAAGTGTGAACTCTTGCAGTTTATTTAGCCCAGCACACACACACTGCAACGTTTTGGATGTTTGTTACATTTGGTAAGGAATTTAGATATATCTTAAAGGGCTAGTTCAACCAAAACAGAAAATTCTGTCATCATTTACTCAACCTTTAATGATCACAAACCTGATCATATTTTGAAGAATTTTGGAAACTAGTAGCCATTGACTTCTATAGTATTTGTTTTTTCTTACTATGGATGTCAAAGGTTACTGGTTTCCATTACACTTTTTTCAATATACATATTTTTCAACCACTTAAGTAAACTGTAGGTAAATTTACATTTTTTGGTGGACTATCCCTTTAAAAGTTACAACATGAACTCTAAGGGCCCTATCAGACGTCTTTTGCAATGCGGCATGAGTTTGACACAAGTACTTTTTTGCTAGTTTCACCCTATCATTTTCACATTCGGTATCATGTGATTTAAATTTGCACCCATTTGTGCACTCTTTTGTGCCTGTCTGAAAAGGGGGTGTGTTCATATGCACATTCGGTGTATTGCTATTATGAGGCTACTGAAATAGACTGTGCTATTGACAAACTAAAAGCTGGTTTAATGTCAGCATAACACAAACATCTTTACATTTGAAAAGAGTAAAGGATTAAAATGCAAATATTATTATTTTCTACATGGATATAAAAAATGTTAAAATGCTTTGGTGGAATCCGGCTCATTCTGTATATGATCTGATCTGTTTCCTTGGTAGTTGAGCAAAATCATCATATAGCAAAATCATCATTGTGCAACCACAACTCACTCTTAAAATGAATGGATGATGAAACTCTTATTTTTTAACACACGTTACAAGTCCTTAAAATACCAAAAGTGGATTTGGACACACCTTAAGTGTTCGCACAGGTCTAAATGTTTTTGGTCCATTCCTAAACAATAAAGAAGCATAAACTACTAATGTGAACACCCCCTGATCTAACTTGGAGAACTGGAATTCACTGAATCACTTCATCTTGTCTCT